TTTTACATAGTTAATATTGGCTTTCTTCCGCACGTATTGATGGTATTTACAATGATTTTTTGTTAGTGAAACGTTACGTTCTCAAAAAGTACTTTAAAGTGTATAAATAAGCTACCCGGGCAATTAAATTACACCAGCCAATCATACGAAAGTCTTTCTATGTGCTATCTTTTTTTTTGAAATTCTCACGCCTAATTAAAATTCCTACCCCAATATCGAAAGTGATAGTGATGTGCATAAGAACCTTTTGAGAACTGTTGGAACTTAAAAGGAATGTATTGATTTTGCTATGAAGGATTTTTTTTTTCTTCTACGTAAAGTAGGCTAAAGTTTTTAGTACCTTTTTTTTAAAAATTTTAATTAAAAACATCTTAATAACTACTAAATTAAATTTAATAATAAATTTTTTTTTCATTTTATAATTTTATAGAATTAAAATAAAAAAAAAACTTTATTAAATTCAAAGTTTAATTTCCCCCTTTCTATTGAAAAAAGCTCCTATATGATCTTATGTAATAACGGTTCGATGTGAAACCCGCGTCAGAGGTGTTACATTATTGATGCTAATTTTCTAAATCGGTCAAATCGATTAGTTGTCAATTTGATGTAGATAATCAATTAATTGGTTAACGTTAAAAATTTTCCAATCGATTAGTCAACTAGTTGGTTTTTCAACTAACGATTTGGGTCATTAATTGATGCGCACCACCGCCTGCCCCTAATATAAAAAAAGGTATTATTTAGGCTTTAGACACTCCTTATAGGGAAATGTTTAACCTACTTATTCGGCTCTATTCATTATAATAATAAATATAAATATACAAGCGGATTGACATCTCTACGAGTTTAGACTAAATGTTGTATACAATAAACGTACAAAACTTATTGTAAAATGTTTAACAGTCGAGAATTTTACATTAGATAAATTCTACGTATTGATCTACGATGCTACTAATTTTGGTTCTTAATCTTTAGTGATTTAAAAAACCATTTTATCGAATATCAAGATACTGTATGTAACATTTGCTTTTTTAAAAGAAATTTATTAGCCATTTCCAAGTAAAAACCAGAAATCTAAATATAGAACCATTTATTTTATTGTTCGAAATGTGAATGCATGATCAAATCAAACGAAATTCGAGAATTTACAACCGCAGTCAGCATAACAAGTTATTAATTATATAAATTTATATTTAGACTTAATAGTTTTCACTCGATTTTACTCAAGCATATGTATATTTATATGAGAACCAGTCTGTACTGATCTCAAGAGACCGATCCTAATTTTATTTCAAATTACTGTGATCACTCAAATCACGATAAATTATATTCTGTAAGATATGAGAATGATCACGGCAGTTTAAAATCCACTGAGAAGTGGATTCATATTTCTAAAACCGATATCACTTTTTTTTTTTTGATATTAAACATCAAATCTCTTAAGAACTTTTTCTAGAAAAATAAACTGAAAGTTTATTTTTATTTATAAATATATTTTTAAATAAATCATGTAATATACATACAATAAACAAACTAAACTAAAAAACTAGTAAGCTACTAATAAAAAGATACAACTGTTTTTCTCTCAGATAGTATGTACGTACATACATTAATAATTAGGTACCTTATCACACTTGGCATAACATAATGTAACAATAGTTTGACAATCATTTTGACATGATACGTAATTGCCATAAGAACCACAACTTTCAATACATTGTTCATATTTTTTTTGACATACGACCGTGCAGTATTGAGCATCGGTTTGGGGCATTCTCTTGAAGTTTCCAGGATTGGCAGATGCAAAAGCAACTAAGAAGATGGCAACAAAGAAGAGAATAAATCTAGCATTCATTGTGAAATTTTTAAAGTTTTTGAGTTAAAATTGGCCTTGTGTTGTGAGTTGCTTTGTTTATTTTATATTATATAATAAATAATAACCAAATTATAATATGATTGTTGATATATATATATTTATTTTATTTTATTTAATGCTCAGGTTTTTGATTTTAGGAGGAAAAGACTTTCTGGCCATATTTATAGAAAATCAAATATCGATGATTTACAAAAATCATGAGGCTTGAATATCTTGAAAGACCAAAAACTGTATGTCATTATGTTCTCCCTATTATCCCTTCAATGACATTTATCCATGTACTCTGCAATTTTGTTAGTGTACTTAAGCCATGATTTTCAATAATTTTCATTAAATTAAAAATACCCGACTAGTGTTTGAAAACAGGTTAAAAATTCCAGTTAATCTGGGATTGATCCGAATCCGATCTGAATCCATAATTCAGATTGAATCCGGGAGTGATTCGTGCCAATCTGACAGTTTGTCACATATATTTGTCACAATATAAGTGATAAATTCGAATTTGTTACATGACAAATTCGAATTTATCACTTATAGTGTGGCACAAGAAGTTATACATTCGAATTTGTCACATGATAAATTCGAATTTATCACACAGAGTGATTATATAAAGACATGACCTAAAATTAGGCTCAATCTCGCTCAATCCCACTCAATCTGGGCCCAATCTGACGTTTCAGGGGCCAAACCTAATCCAACGGTTTGGATCCACACAAATCCGAATCCGATCCGTGCTGACTTTTTCGAACACTATACCCAACTATAATCTGATTTTTTGATCGCATTAATCTTGAGCGGCTCATTATTTTATGTAAGTTTCTAATAAAAAGCCTGTCAACGAAGTAACAGGGTGATTATTATTGAGAAATCAGATGACTCTATCGAATCACATGTTTAGTTTGTCGTTATGGGTTTTGTGTAGTCCTTATTGTATCTTATTAGATGCAGGTATTTTTCTGGTCAATATTGTGATTGCATATAATTGTGTAAGATATGAGTTACTTTGATAGGCAAGATGGTTTTCAGGAATATTTAAGGACATTTAGTTAATAGAGATTATTATCTTTCTTTTCACTATCGCTTGCCTTGTAGTAAAGGCTGGCTCTGTCATATTCATCTGGACCTTCTTTGTAACAAGCACTATATTTTAAGTATAATAAACATTTGATTTAAGGATAACGATATTAAATGATTAAATAGTTAAGTATAAATAGGCTTCGAGGCATAGTGCTTCATAGAAGCAGCAGCAGTGCAAGAATCTTTCTTTATACTATCGCTCACTTTGTAGTGAAGGCTGGTTATATCATATCATCTGGACCTTCTCTGTAACAATCACTATATTTAAGTATAATAAGCATTTGATTAAGGATAACGATGTTAATTGCTTAAATGGTTTGTTATCAATAAGCTTCGAGGTGCAGTGCAAGAATTTTTGTCTTTGGCTTCACAGTCATATCGACAGTTCAAGAACCTTCTGTTTGGTGGCAGTTCAGATTTTTGTTTTTGGATCTGTGGCTGAAGTGGCTGTGCAAGATCCTTTGTTTTTAGCTTGCAGCTACAGTGGTATTCAAGGACCTTTTGTTATGAAGGCAGTGTAAAATCTATTATCTTACTTCATAGTTGTGGCTGCAGTTTAAGAATCGTTTGTTTTAACTTTGGGCTGTAACAGTTTAAACTCAGCAGCTGTAGTAACAGTGAAGGCTTTTTGTTTTGGCTTCGTAGCCGTTGTACTTAATCATGGTACTTGCACTGCTAATGTAGCAATAAAACCTAATCACTATACAAACAGCAGCATCAAAGACTAATTTTCAAATATAAGGTCAATGCACTGCTACTGTAACCATAGAGTCTAATCACAACATGAAGTCCTAGCAATGCTATCACAGCTGTGTAGCCTAATCACTATACAAAGGTCTCCAACTACCATTATAGTTTTAAAGATTAATTAACATTATTTATTAACCCAAAATATGAGGTCTTTGCAGTGCTACTGCAGTTACAGAACCTACCTATTAAACACTTTGCAATATTATTAAACCATGAAATCTAATCTCCAAGATCCTTGCACCGCTATTATAGCGGCAAGGTCTAATTATCTAGAATGAGATTCTTGCATTATAATCACAACTGCAGATCCTAATTGTCAAACATGAGCCTTGCACTACGATTATAGCCACAAAGCCAAAACTCCAGTATAAGATCTTTGCATTGCTATTGTAGCTATGGAAATTAAATCATCAAGAGCCAAATATGAGTCTTGTACTACCATTGTATTCACAGAGTTTAAAATCTAATATAAGGTTCTGTAACCACAAAACTTAATTATCAAAAAGTGATTTTACACTACTATTGCAGCTGCAATGCCCAATTATCAGCATGAGATTCTTATACTACAAATGCAGTCATAAAGCTTAATTGCCAACATTTGGTTCTCTGTATTCACAGAATCCAATCACAAACATAAGAACCTTGTATTGCTATTAGAGCCATAGTGCCTAATTACCAAACTTAAGGTTCTTGTAGTGTTCTTAGTCAATGAGTTACTAAGAAAAGGGTGGTAGGGCAGGATGACAGAGCCAGCCTTCACTACAAGGTGAGCGATAATGAAAAGAAAGATAACAATCTCTATTAACTGAATGTTCTTAAATATTCCTGGAAAACAATCTTGCCTATCAAAGTAACTCATAACTTACACAATCATATGCAATCACAATATTGACCAGAAAAATACCTGCATCTAACAAGATACAATAAGGACTACACAAAAATCCATAATGACAAACTAAACATGTGATTCGATAGAGTCATCTGATTTCTCAATAATAATCGCCCTGTCACTTAGTTGACATGCTTTTCAAAACAGAGTTGATTTGCCAAACAAAAATCATATAAGTTTAGAATGATTCCAGAGGATTTTTTTATAGTGAATATTATAAGATTACATATACATATCTACTTTTAAAGCATTTTCATTGGTAAATGAAAAAAAACCTTAGACGGCTTATTAATTCAAAAAATTGTTAAACACTTAGGTGTTAGCAGGTCTTTTACAAATCGAGTTCTTAAGCACTTAAAAGAAATGGATGTAATAAAACAAATGGGAGAGTCAATAGAAAAGGGACAAGCAAGTTTCAGTAAATTTTTTTTAATTTTTAAATTAAAATATCTCAACATAATCAAATTTGATAAAAATTTTTTGTTTTAATCTTAGGATTATATAGAATTAAAATAAAAAAAATTATTATATTTGAGTAGATAGTTATTGAAATATTTAAAGTTAAGAAAACTTTTACTTAGTAAAAATTGCCACTTTTCTATTAACTTCTCTCCAAATGTTAAAATCTTGATTTTTTAAGATCTAATTTGTTTAATATTAGTATTTATTCATGTAATATATTTATTATAAAGTTGAATTTATATTCGGAGCCTTTTTTGTATTTCTTGATAGTATTTTTCATAATTCGTACAAACCAAACACACCAAACATGTTGCGTAAGTATTCAGCAAAAATTTAATATTGAATGTGTCGATATTATACAAGAAACGTAGTGAAGCGAGTGCATTCGTGCACAAATGGTTTTGATTGGGTACTGTATACTAAAGCATAATGATCCACATACTTTCGATGATCACTATGCTGTTTTTGAAAATACTTTTTAGTATACGTAATTAATATATTTATCCAATTATAGTAGGAGATAAAATTATAGTGCACATAATAAAATCATATGTAATTAGAGTTTAGAACCAGTCTTATTTTATATTTTAAAACCGATTTTGTAGTAAACAAATTTTTGTATACCTGAAACATAGTGAAACGAAGTGTATAGCTTATTGATGAGCAAAACCAAAGCAAAATCTTAAAGCTGATTGGATTATACAGTCGTAAGGATCACAATTTTTCTCATGACACTAATTTTGGAGATTATGTACTAATTTGTCGCTTTAGTCTTTTATAGAGGTCGTCTAAAGCTGTGTTCCCTTTTACAGACTATTTTTTTTGTAATGGCTACTGCATTGTCTCGTTAGATACAAGTTTTTTTTGGTTAAGATTATAGTCGCATATCAATATGATTGTTAATTGGTAATAGGGAATGGTATTGTCTTATTGTCAAGTATGAAATCAGTAGGCAGTAAGACATGTTGTAAATGCAGCATGTTTAATATTGATTTTGTTGGTAGGAAGATCAAATTTTTCTACGCTATCGCTCGTCTTGCAACGAGAATGGTTCTATCGTTTCTCCATAATGTTCATTTTGCAGCACTCGGCAATAAGTTTAATGCTTGGCAGCGGATTTATTCATTTTGCCGACAATTACTTCGCCGATAACTTAATTCACAGACAGAAAGCTTATTTCACTGACAATTAATTTATAAACAAGTTCATTTCTCTGACAATTAATTTACAAACAAGTTCATTTTACAGACAGTTTATTTCACAAACAGCTCATTTCACCGACAAGTAATTTGGTCATTGCCGTTAGGATCATATTTAGAATTATGCAAATTATAAGAAAAAATTGTCAGTAAAATAAGTTGTCGGTGAAAAAAACAGTTGTATAATGCTTATCTGTGAATTAATTATCCGCGAAATGAGCTTGTCTGCAAATTAGTTGTCTGTAAGATGATGCGGATCCCTTGGCGCGGGTTTGTTAGGCAAAGTATATTGGTAATGTCAGGCTTCCCAACTGAAGTAGCAGTGCAAGAACCTCGTTTTTGCTTTGGCTTTTTGTAACGATTCGACTTCACAGCTGCAGTGCCGTGCCCTATAACAAAGTTTGTACAGTTATTGTATGCATTGTTCAAAAAAATGTTCGGAACGAAGTCAATTTTCCGATTACCAGTACGACATTGTACAATTTTCATACCGTGATAGTAAAAAAAATTTTTGGTTGACA